CCACTGGTAGCAACCCCAGAAAGAATGGCACTTCAGAAATACAGTACAGACGTATACCAATTATTCTCTCAAACTTTATATCCTATCGTGTTGTTTGTGTTTTAAGTTAACTTTATTTATTTATTTTTTTTTTTAAGCGTACAGGTTTGGAATATTTTAAAACCCTTAAGTTAAATTATTTAAAGTTTTCTTTTTATTTTCAATGAAAAATAAATGCGATCGTTAATATCGATCTTGGTACAATGTAAATCTGTAATCATATGACTACTTATACAGAATTTTACTATATTATATGCTTAGACTAGGACCAGGCCTCCTACTATAGTATAGAGGCCTAGTCCAAGACCTTGTTGCAAATCCCAGCCCACATTTAAGCCTAGCCTATAATGACTAGCATAGGGCAGGCCCGTAGGCAGGATTTGGGGAGGTGCGTTTTGCAACCGAAGTGGACCATTCATTCATTTGAGTATCGTCTAGGGACCTACAGTAAAAGCAGAAGAAATAGAGGGTGGGGGTGAAAGGAGGAACTTGAGACAGATGGTTAATACCAACCCAGCCCCCACCATGATTGGGGCTGAGGTAAGAAAATTTATGATTATGGCACCTCAAAATGGCCGGAAATGGCACTCTCAGACAATTATGATTTTTCTTTTTTCTCCATTTTCTTTTATAATTTTAGGGGGCTCTTCTCCCTTGATCCCCCACAGCGAAATTGTAATTTTTCATGTTCTTTACATCTGTAGGCCTACAGATGACATGGATCAATCTGCAATCACTGGAGCTGATAATTTCCAACAGATTTCAGCACATTATTAAAAATCAACGGGTAGAAGAGCGGCTAAAAAAATGTAATGCATACTATAGCATAATTAGGAACGATTTTAGTGAAATAATAGGTTTTAAAAAGTAGACTTTTTTTAAATTGGGTCCCAGACGCACTGGGAAGCGTTGTTCACGGCATTGGACTGCAGCGAAAAAGGATTACCCCATCATTAATGGAACAGGCCAACGTCATGCTTGGCTGATTAGTTTTGATTTACATTTCGCAAGTCTAGTGCCATACGCAGCAAAAGTCCATTTCTTACGATGGCCCACAAGGGACACACTGCAAAGAAAAAGAAATGCTGCAAACAAAAAAGAAACGCTGCAAACAAAAAAGAAATCATGGAAACAGAAAAGAAAGAAACGCTGCAAACAAAATAAAAACACTAGCAAACAAATAAAGAAACGCTGCAAGTTTTTAAGAGCTCCTCCATTCCTATCAAAGGATTTACTTTCAAGGGAAGAGATGATCCCCTGACACTTTTCAGCACACCATCACGTTAAAAGACCGATCTTTATGGTGACCTCGGGGTTTTTCTCTATTTTCGTTGACACGGCTTTCTTGGTGAATCTACTACTCCTTCCTTTTCTTTCCTATCTCTGAAAGCCTCAAATGAGAGACGAGCAAGCTGAGGCCTACTTGATGATGGACTTTCATTTGGACTTGGCCGTTTTCGTGTATTAATATTAGAAGTTGTGTCCTCCATTTAAAGATTCACCACAAGAATGGCAAAATTTTCCAAATTATGAACTTTTTGTTGGGTGTCTATAAAACGAAGACCGAAAACCGCAGACCCAAAAACGAAGACCCCTATTTTTTCTCTTTCATTTTGATGATAATACGCCAGGCTCTCACAAAATCCAAATTAAGAAATTTTTTGGGCGTCTGGAAACCGAAGACCCAAAAACGAAGACCCCTATTTTTTCTCTTTCATTTTGATGATAATACGCCAGGCTCTCACAAAATCCAAATTAAGAATTTTTATGGGCGTCTCTTTGTGAAATTTTCAAGGGTCTTCGTTTTATAGACACCATATAGACACCCTATATGGGTGTCTACAAAACGAAGACCGAAGACCCGAAAAACGAAGACCTCCAGTTATTTCTCAATTACCTTATTGAAAGTATTTCAAAATCATCATAAAACAGGTGCCAAGTACCTATTTCATTCAAAACGAAGACCGAAGACCAGAAGACCCACTTTTTTTTTTCTTTCAATCGTGATAAAATAATGTTTTTAAATCACTTCATGCTATGTATATATCTTCGTTTTTGGGTCTTCGGTCGTCGTTTTATAGAAACCCCCTTTTAGTTCCACAGTTAGAGCAAAACATGGCTTGACACTATGATGTAGCCCTGCAGCGCATCTGACCTGACCTCAGTCTGTTGTCAATTAATATGAAATGCGCGCGCGCAAAGGCTTTTCCATTTTGTTTGCAGGGTTTCCTTTTTTTGTTTGCAGCGTTTCATTTTTTTGTTTGCAGCATTTCCTTTTTTGCTTGCAGCTTTTTCTTTTGTTTGCTGGTGTTTTTATTTTTTGCTTGCCGCGTTTCTTTATTTGTTTGCTAGTGTTTTTATTTTGTTTGCAGCGTTTCTTTATTTGTTTGCTAGTGTTTTTATTTTTTGTTTGCAGCGTTTCTTTTTTATTTGCAGCATTTCTTTTTTGTTTTCAGCGTTTCATTTTTTGTTTGCTGGTATTTTTTTTATATTTTTGTTTGCATCGTTTCCATTTTTGTTTGCATCGTTTCTATTTTTGTTTGCATCATTTCTTTTTTGTTTGCATCATTTCTTTTTTTGTTTGTAGCGTTTCTTTTCTGTTTCCATGATTTCTTTTTTGTTTGCAGCGTTTCTTTTTTGTTTGCAGCATTTCTTTTTCTTTGCAGTGTGTCCCTTGTGGGCCATCGTAATTTCTAGTGTTGTTGTCAAAAATGCATTTCAAACCAGGCTGGTTTTTGATTTACGTTTTGGAATAACATTTGGAGAGGGCGTTTGATCAAGTCAGACCTAGGTTTTGTATTTGAATTACATTTTAAAGAAATTAGAACTACATTTTGGAAAATTTGAATTACGTTTTGAAAAATTAGAACTTCATTTTGGGAAAATAGATCTACATTTTGAGAAATTTACACCTACGTTTTGATAAATTAGACATTGAATTTTGCAATTACATTTTGATTTTAATGTTGACTTTTGCTGCGTATGGCACCCCATACGTTACTACTCGCGTAGTAACTCTTCTCTCCTTAAAGTCAGGCTCCGGAGGAAAACATTTTTTTGATAAGTTTGATTTTTCCAAGACAGAAAAAAAGTTGTTTGACGAAAAACTGGGGAACGGTGAATGAGATACAGATTTTTTTTATATTTAAAAACTGGGGGAATATGGTGTAAAAATGGGCAGTTACGCCCCTTTTTCCCCCAGTTTTTAAATATTAAAAAATCTGTATCTCATTCACCGTTCCCCAGTTTTTCGTCAAACAACTTTTTTTCTGTCTTAGAAACATCAGTTCTACAACATATCAAACGTTTTTTTCCCTCCGGAGCCTGACTTTAAGTTGAAACAGGAAGCTTTTCAAAGTCTTGGATGTCTTTGAATAAAGTTAAAAACAATTGACGCCTAGATATAGGCCTGCTTGTAGATATCATCATGATTATGATATATGATATTTGAATTATTAGACTGCTCAAAATTTAATAAAGTATTCTAAACAGCAACTAAATATTAAAAGATTTGCTACTGTTAAATCACGAGCAGTTTGTCAATTTTTGGAGTGCTTTTCCCACGCTTTGCATGAACTGGTTGAGTAGACGGCGTACATCCCTACTGATTGCGGTTTGCTCTAATTAAATTGTGTCTCAAATGTACGAAAACAAGACTGATAAAAGTGCGTCTAGCTCGCGAAGTTGCAAAGAGTAGCAGCTAAATTTGGTACCATCATAAAGGCTATACTGAAGATGGTGATGTAAAAATTAAAGCATGAATCCACATGAATCTATTCTTTCTCTCCTACTTTTCTAAAAATAGATTTTTAAATATTTTTTCTGTCGTTTAAACAACGATTCATTATTGATGCAAACTTCAAATCTAAACCAAAACATATATTTGTATTCCCCAATTTATATACAAGAAACTTGTGTATTTTGAAGTAATTCCGAATTTTATGTAAGAAAAAAAACGTGTTTTGATATAATGTAGTAAATTATAGCATTTGAAATATTTATAGAGAAATTTCCGACATTTGTTGAAAAATACCACCCTTAAAATTCGTTTAAATGTAAAATATTTTCAGGATAGATTCACCAGGGTATACCCTTCTTCAATCATGTGAAAGAAAGTGTAAAAGCCATACTCACCAAAATGGACTTTTGACACACATTGATTACGGCTTTACCCACTGTGCGACGTAACGCCCTCTGCTGATTGTCAATGGCAGTCTGAACGGATCCTCATTAAAACAGCGTCGCGTTCCCAGAGGCTGGAATTAAATAAATAATGAAAATATATGCCTAATGATGTCTGACTCTCTAGCTGTTATATAACCATTCGTGATGCTTTGTTGTGATTTGTCAGAACATGAATGAAAATAGGCCCCGAAATAGGCCCAAGCCAATAGATATTTTATTTCTCGTGGTCCAAAGACTGTGTCCGGTTTGTGAACCGGGGTCTATAATAACCCTCAGACATATTCCTATAAAATATACTTTTTAAAAAGACTGATATAACAAGTGATTAAAAAAAAAAAAAAAAATCCCAAGAATCAGAAAAGTGACCCCACACGTAACATGGACCGGTGCGTTGATATTGTTTGGGATATACCTGTAGGCCTACTGGAATTTTTTATGAATAAATTTTCAAAAGGATTTTTTCATTAACAATTTAATTCTTCTTACATATTGAAATACCATCGATTGTAGAGTTTTCTAACAACCTCAAGTGAAAGTTGAAAGTTTCACTATGTAGACGTCCTAGGATTTATATTTATTGTCCAAAGCCTGTCTGAAATGCATTAATAAGACTGAATTATATTGTTCTAATAAGGATATGAGTTCAAACTAATGTTTATGTGACTTTGTTAAATTTCCAGAATAAGTCGCCTTACCCCTTATAATTACTCCCACTCAACCAAAATTAAATTATGGATTCCAACCATTTACGCCGTGATTTAGATTTGCTCATGCGCTGTATGAAAACGGCAATGTCAACTCATCATATCACGGTGCGGCGAATGTCAGTTGTGGCGAGTCGTCATATGGTTCGTATGGAAGTGTTCTAGGCTATTGTTGTATTGTTGAGGTAAGCTTTGTTTACACACTGGCTGGAATAAGCTCGAATCTCCATTGGTCCATAGTGTACTTACTAAATTAGTTTTTGCATCATGTAATTCGTACTTTATGGATTTCATTTAATTGCTAGAATACTAAAATTTCTAGGCCTAGGCTATTTTCAGTTTATCGGCCTAGGCTACTACTACTACTAGAAAAGGCGTATACCTAGTACTATTACTAATAATGCCTAGGCTATAGTGTCAAGATTGTCGTAGTAGTGTGGTTGTTGGTTTAGTTAGATAAAACAAGGGTCAGAGTTTTATTAGACTGTTTTGCCCTACAGAGTAGTAGGTTTAATTTATCAGTCACCAATATACCTGAAAAGGCCTAGGGGCCTAGGCCTATAATAGGTATGGCCTACTACTAGGCCTATGGCCAATGATAGTGAGTAGGCTTATACAGTCAGTAGCCTATGCTAGGCTGGTATACTATAGTATTAATATTTAATAGATTTGATAATACTACTAAAATAGTTATTTCAATAAATAAAATTTTTAAATCATGTTCTTGTTACGGTTTATTAACTTATTACAAGCAGGGACGTAGCCAGGATTTTGAAAGGTGTGGGATCCGTTATGCGATGGAGTTTAAGGTCATACCAGGGAAAGGCACAGATCTGCTTTGAGAGGTGTAGGGTGGGGAGACATACTGTGAGTCCACACCCATCTCAAACCCACCATGGTTGGGGCTCAGATGCAAAAGTTTTAGGAAATAGTATCTCTAGATGGCCAGAAATGACACTTTCATCAGTAAAATTCATAATCATCACATCACAATTTTGTATAAAGCTCCAACAAAATTCTCATGATCTTTAATAACGGATTTTCGACAACCATAGAGATCTGATTAATATGTGTCATGTACCATAAACAATAAAAAACAGTCTTTGATGTATGTACTTTAGATACTTCAAAGCTGTGGTTTTACAACCACCTCAGCCCCAAAGAAAATTTGAGGAAATGGTACTTCAGATGGCCAGAAATGACACTTTTATATAGTAAAATTTATCATCATCACATCACCATATTATAATCAAAACGAAGAGCCAACAAATTACTCATGATCTTTTTTCTGCAACCATAGAGATCTACTTAATTTCCAGGACAACTTTGCCCAACTATACTATAGCTTTAACTACTATAATAATTATGATCGACAAATCACAAGTTCCCTTTTTTCCAATTTTTAATATTATTATTTATTATCATAATTACCATCGTCATCATCATCATTATTATTATTACTTCTACTACTAGTTAGTATTATTAAACAAAACTTTATAAATGCGTGCAAAAGGATAGAAACCAATCTGAACCATATAATATCCCATTTTTGTATTTTAAAGCCCCATTCCCGGCAAAATTTCACTAAAAACTGACTTTTTTTAGAAAATATGCATTTGCATTACTCCAATTATTATAAATCATGGAAAATATTGGCATGTATTTTAGTTTTACGCAAAAGAATAAAAAAAATGAGAAATACAGACTATTTCTCATAAAATATTACCATTTTCTCGACGAATTCATCGTTACTAGGCAAATTCAGAGGTCGTAGATCGCATCCACTGGAATACTCTCGCTTTTATGTATACTTTATACAGTCAATAAAGTGCACCCTCTCTAATAAGATTAGTATTATTTTGTACTTCGCATCTCGCACAATGCGGTCGTTCGATTAGGGGTTTAAGTGTCAAAATCTCAGTCAGAATCAGTTTTTTAACAAATTTGAAATAATTCCTATGAAATATATTTTCACAAGTGTCAATACTAGCAACGGAAAATATCATGTCGGCCATTTTTATGTGTGATAACAGAACTAAATCGAGGTAAGGCTAGGCCTAGCCTAGCAGCGTTGGATAGGCTAATGTTTTCGGCACCTACGATATTTCTTCTCCTATCGCAAAATCAAACATGAAAAATTCATCCGCATTTATTTTTTGTGTGGAACACAAAAAATAAAATTTCAGTCTTATTTTACATTTTTTTCATTCTTAGGAATGTCTAAATTCAGTTAAACTAGCAATTCCCTATTATATTTATAAATCTTTATAACATTATACAAAAAACAGATTTTTCTTAAAAACTGAAATTTTGCCGGGAATGGGGCTTTAAAAGACAGGGCCTGCGATTTATGGATTTAAGGCCAATTCAAGATGATTTTTTTTTGTTTTGGAAGTTTGCTAAATCCACCCCTTGAGAAGTAGCCGTTATAAATCCGAAAATTTTAATTTTTGCATTATCGTGTACAGTGAAAATTGATTAATCTAACGAATATTCCACTGGGTAACCCCAGGTTAGCGTGTGACTTTTATTGATAGAAGTTTATGGTGGGTTTCTATTGGAGCACGGGTCACAAACCTACAGTAGAATGAGTCAATTAAAAATTGTACAGTATTTAAATCAACACCAAACTATCATGTGCTGATACATATTTACATATTTTATAGAAGTATTCATTTTGAGTGATCCCAGGAAAGAATGTGTTGGCCTATTTGCTAGTAAGAACAAGCTTTAAAATTCCAACACTGTTTACAAAGGGGAGGGGGGAAGCCACGCCCTGAATACATCCCTGATTACAAGGAGTCCACCTCAGACACCTCATGGTTGTGGCTTAGGTGAACAAAAATTTCAAGAATATGGATTATGGCTTTACTCTAGGAATGCCATTCGTTTCGCATGTGAGCAATGATGTATTTACCATCCAGAAAATTAGGAAATTATGTGTTTTGTTTGTCTTATTGACAACTTATCTTATGGAAACTTTTTTGTTTTAAGAAGACCGGTAGATCTAAAGACAAAGTAGACTAGATGGAATATATTAATTGCTGTAACAAAAGCTACACAATAAACATTGCATACAGTAGTCTATAGAGGTAGCTATATTAGTACCAGCAAGATGCTGTATTGTCAGGGTGAAGCAATTTATTTACAGTCAGTAGAA